TGCCCGTGGCTCCTTCTGCTTGTTGTTCTGATCCAGTCTTCGAGATCACGGTGGCTTGGAGCGTATCAGATCGCTCCTTCGGGCCACATACATGGCAAGGGAGAGACAGAATGGTTTTAAAGGTATTTTAAAAATTAAATATTTAAAATGTATTTATATATAAGTATTTGAATATTTATTGATATTAGTAATTAATATTAATTAAATGTTAAATTATAAATATTTAAATATATTAAATGTTAAATTTATTAACATGAATGTTAAATTATAAATAATTAAATGTTAAATTATAAATATTTAAATATATATTTTTAAAATATTTTTAAAGGTGTGGCTAACAAGGCCCATGAAACAACTTCAGGAAATCTTATGTTGTTATTCTCATGCAACCCTCAAAGCAGGGCTTATGAATCCTATGATAAGGGTATCAATATACACCCTGCCAGGTTGTCCCCTGTGCTTGCTGGAAATTGGTTAAAGTACGTGTGTGCCTGGTCTCAATGGCTTGAATGAAGAGCTTTTGCATCATTATTTAATTTCCTGAAGAAAAACATTCTGCCTGCATTCTGGTTTTATTCCGTATAGACATGTTGTCACTGTTATCCAGGACAGCGGGGTTTGTGAGAGACYGCAGTGAAGAAAAACTGAAGTTAAAACACTATCTATGTAAATGCAGACAGGTGGGAARGGCTGGAGCAGCCCAGGGACACGGATGGCCCCAGAGTTTAGCGGATCCATAGCAAGGAACCCAGGCACTGTGCGGTCCCTCCTGGAGCTGCCAGCACGGGACCAGAAGCCTGTGGTGGCTCTGTGTCCAGAGCAGGGCTCTCTTAGGATGATGTGAAATGCYGGGATTGCTGGGAGCTGACTACCTCTCGTGACTTCCCACTTCCTGGGGCAAATTCAGCGCGAGCCCCTGGGGAGAATGGGCACCTTTCAATCACTTCCCAGCTTCTTAAAAGTGTGAAACATCTTTTTGTCAAATCCCAAGGACAGAAAAGAATCAGTCCCTGATAATCTTGGACAGATTCTTGTGTAAGTGTGTAAGAAGATAAACAGCAGGCCCTTTGACAAACAGGGAAAAGTAACACAAATGAGGACTCAACAATTTTTGATTTTCATTTGAAAATTGAATCTTTCTACATGGTCTGAGTGCAAACTATATTTTTATTGCATCTCTAGACCAGTTTTCTGCAATTTTTTTAGCTGTCTTGAACTACAATTTCAAGGACTAATAGCATAAGGTCATAAAACTCTCAACAGCCTTCACTGAATCAACAGGCAGAATCTGAGGTGGAAATTGCTGCTGCTCGGCGTGCACCAGGTTTTTAGGGCTGAGCTTTGGTAAAACAGCAAATAGACAATAAAACACTAGTTTGGGGACTTTGCTAAGGGTCTCACCAGGTAAGAAGTGCCAGGAAATTACCCCTGGGAGAGAAAATGGTTAATAGAAGGAAGGATCTCAGATCAATTCATCTGACTGAAGGAGCAAAACTGAGGCACACAATCAGAAACGTTACAATTAAGGGTAGAAGAAGGGTATCAAAAGAAGGAATGTAGATTCCTTGAGGATCTGGCTGCCCTGAGCTGGAAGAGCAGCCATGTGTTTGCCTACTGCCTTTGCAATTGCATGTCCTTGAGAAGCTGGCTTGTCAATCCAAGTAGGTATATTTTGCTTTCACCTGCAGATGTGCCAAAACTTTTCACTGATGATAAGCAAGAATTTCCCTTTGCTACTGTGATCTCACTGATAATCTATTGTGAAATAGAAGGACTGGAAGCATTTACTTGGAACTGAGACCGCGCAGCCTCCGAGATGCTGCAAGGGGTGTCTCCAGGACCCTACAGATACAAAAGCAGCCCCAGCCCCAAACTTCCCGTACCAAAGGAGAGGCAGGGAGTCAGTACCAAAGGAGAGGCAGTCAGGAGAGGCAGTCTGTCAGGTCGGGAGTGGAGACTCCCAAGAAGGTGAGAGCTGGGGGCTTTGAGCTCTGGCGCYGGGAGTGTGTGACTAAACAGAACTGCAAAGTTTGCTCCACTGTTTATAATGCTTTGGGGAAGTYTATAGTTTTTTGTTTTGTTTTTCCCTTCATAAATGTAGAAAACAAGGAGGTGCAGGATGGGCTAGTAGGAGAATCCCTTCCATCCACAGAGTTGTTCCTGACTAGCCACTGCTCTTGTTATTCTGCATGGAAATCCAGTGCACCTTAACTTCACTCTTAACTTCTGCAATTTTTCATCACCCCCTATCTCTTCCTGCCATTCGGAAGTACAGCTGATACTGCTCGGTCATGTTGGTTTAGGTGTATTTCTTGAGCTTGGCTGCAAAAGGCTATTCTTTATCTCTTTCTTCCCATGTTATTTAGCATGAAGTGATTAGCTGTAATGTTCCTTCTTAAAAAAAWATATATATATGATCTCTGTGTTGCCCCCAAAAAGCTGCCACGCAGCGAAGACAAAATAATTTATTTCCAGTAAAACATAACATGGAGTAGTAGTCAACAACAACAAAAAAAAMCATTAAGTCAYGGCTGCACAGAAATGCAGGTCTCTCAGCAGATGCCCAGTTTTCATGTTTTCCTGGGATGTTACTTAAACCACTCACTTGATTCATTCAGAGTAAAACCCTCTGTCTCCAGACTGACAAGTTTATTGCTCTGCTGTTGGGAGATATCTTGCCATTTATTTCTATCCTGTATTTTACCATTTATTTCTATCCTGTATTTTCTAAGGTCTGAGCAATAAAATGTTATCTCGTCCATACACTGCTACCTTGAATATTCACGTGGAACTGTGAGAACACCTTTTATGTATTCAGAGTATTTCAGTGGGGAGCATATTCAGCTTGACAGAACAATGGGAGGTGAACTGGTTTCAGTACTATCTTAGACTGGACACCCTAAAACTATCTATTTAAAAGACTGACTCTTTCTAGCAAACTTCCCTTCAGCTGCCACCACGGCTAGCAAGCTATCAAAACCCTCCCATTTTTCCCCTCCACAAAAAAAAAAAAAAAAAAGGGACTTCCACTAACAGTTTGCTCTGGAGATAAATTCCGAATCCTTCTGTGCCAGGACCTACTTTATCAGGTGTCGGCAGCTATAAATGCGGGATAAACTGACTGACGCACCTCCTGTCCATTCAGCCCTTTCCCTGGAGGTTATGCTTTGGGATAGCTGAGTATGACGCCCTGTCACTTCTGAACTGCTGCAGTTTGCAGTCCAATCTGTTAGAAGAAGCTGAAATTAGCACCAGCTTAACAAAGCTTAATAAAACTGGTGCTAAGGTGCTGGTTTTCAGTAGTGATTTGTTGACTCATCTTTGCTTGCTCTGGGAGAGCAGCAGATGCTGCCCCTTCATTCAGGTGTCTCAATTTATCCAGCCTCAGTGCTGCTGATCAGGTCACTCATTGGTGCTGCTAAAACGCTGCAGAAACACAACCGGCCCCAACTGCAGGAAGGGGCACGCACGGCTCTGCTTCCCCACTTTGGTTTTCAGAACACAATGAGCGGTATCTGTAACTTTCACCTTCTGTTTGCCACACCGAAATATTCCTGCAGACTCYGTTTTCCCTGTGGCTGCCTGATGTGCTGACACTGTATGTGCTGCAGGGTTATGGAGCTTTTTCTCACATGCTTTGGGGGCTTATCTAGATTTCGAAAGGAAAAGCTGCTCAGATACCCGCTGCCCTCCCTCTAGTGGCTGTTTTTGGAAGAAAAGAAATAGGGCTGTGAGGAAGTGAACCCCAAGGTTCACTATGAGTATTGATCATTGCGTTAAGATCAAACTTGGGAAGAATGTCAGTGTTGTACCAGAATGACTGACTGAAATACTGCCTATCATCAAGGCTCCGGTGCTGCTCCTTCGCTCCTGAAAACATTTCTCTTGCTACTCCCTTCCCTGCTCCCTATCTCTCCCTCGCGCTTGGTGACCTAAAGACACAGGTGCACTAAGTCTGCATGAAAAGACTATTTTTCTCCCAGTTTTTCCAGCTCTTCTAGTTGGCCAAGTAAACCAAATACACAGCTCTTGTTTTTCAGACATGGAAGGCCTGAAAGCTGATTTGATTTTTCTACGCATACATATTAGTCTAGTAAAAGATGCAGTTTTGATTTATAAAATTTATCCTGAAAAATACTTAAAGAAGAGTCAGGATCTGGAAATGCAATGACTTTCTTCCATTTCCAGTACTTTCCTGCATGTCCTCTGCATCAAACATCAGTATATTTGAGAAAAGAGTGTATGTCCAGCTACACACCGTGTTCCTGCTTTTAAGATCTTGCTGTAGGTTGTGATTCTTTTTCTCTTTGCTCATCAATGTGCTCTACTGGCCTTACCAGGTAAAAGAAATTCCAGCGACACATGATTCTGTGTAAGTTTATACAGAAAGAGACAGCAAAGACTGTGTAGCAAGACAAAGGTTGGGGCTGGAAAACACTCTTGCTAAAAAGGGCAAAAAATGCCAACAGAGCAGCTCCTGAAGGAGCGTTACCCTAGTCTCTCTTTTTGCATCTTTCACGTATTGGTCTCCTGGTGTTAAATGGAAGGCTAGACGTGGCAGGTAGTTTGGGACAAACCGACCCATGCTACAAGGACAGAACATCCCAAGGAAACCTGTCTGCTGAGCTTATGCTTCCAGCGCAGCACAAGTCAGATTGCTGCTGCTGTTCTCCTGACCACTTAGTTACTTACGTTGTAGCCTGCAGCCCGACTTTTTCTGAGCTAAAAATACCAGTTTGGCTCCACCTGAATCTCACTCTGGGACAAGGTTCTCTTTCGATGTCTCAGTTCCAGACACTCCACTGTAAGTGGGTATGTTCTGAGCTCAAACTTATTTGCAAACAAACAGGAGGAGTTAAAAAGCCACTTGAGGTCACCTGTTCCATACACACAAATGCCTCTGACATAATGACCTGCCAAAACAAGAGAGAGGAAAAAGATAAAACAATGTCAAAATCCACTTTTTTTCCCCATAGGCACCTTCTAGAATCTACATTACTCTATTTGAAAAGTCTGATCCGCAAAGCTACTATAAGCAATCTTCTACCCCAATAAAAATGCTGAAAATCAAAGCACATTAGATGAACAATGGGAGTAACTGTGAACACTGAGGTGAAATCAAGAAAGCTACTCGGGAATAAATACTGGGCAAAGTTGTTGAATAAGCAGACAGATCAGAAAAGATGTGCTGTTAATTGAGACTCTTCTTAAGGTGATGAAAATTCCTTCTGTCATTGAAGAAGAACTGATACTTACACAAGGTTTTCCGTTGAATACTTCTAGTTGATCCTGGTGCAGTTTCACAAATTGCAGCGTAGTTGTGCTGAGGTGAAACTGCTATCATTTTGAGCTGATTAAAATCCTCAAAGCCTTTTTCCTCAACCCAAACAACTATATGAAATGGATTAAAAAATCCTATAATAAAACTTGTATCTTTAACACTTTAGTATTTCCCTTTTTCTTCCCCTTTTCTTTCCATTTGTATTTCACATGTAGTAGCATATAACATACYGTAAGTCACACTAGGTGCTCCACAGAGCAAATTATATATTGCTAATGTCRTCAAGCAACATGAAAAACTCAAAATTCCAACAATTCCAAACTGTAAAACAAATAAGGCTCTAAAAGTGCTTCCCCCTCCACAAATTGTCCTATAGTTTGAASCCTCCATTCAAATTGAAAGGAAAAAGGAACTTCAAGCTGTGAGCGCGACTTGAGCTCAGCGCCGCAGCTCCCAGGTAGGCGCCACACGGGGCCCCGCTGAGCAGCCGCCCGCGGCAGCACCGGCCGCTGGGCACCAGCCCCGCGCGGAAGGACAGCAACAGCGCGTGGACAAAGAGGGGCAGCGCTTCCACGGGCCGCGAGGCCCTTCCTTGTCTGCCCATGATGGTTCTGCCTGGAGTCAGCGCCAAGGCTGAGAGCTGTGGGCTGCTTACAGGGCTGTTGGCTGTACAGGTTCTGGACCCCAGGGCTATGAACACGTGGGTTCTTCCCATCCACCTGCATGAAGATTACCTGCAGCCTACAATTGTCAGCTAAGCTCTTGTGAAACTTAAGTTTCCAAATATCCTCCCTTCTCAARGCTGATACATTCTGTGGAAGTTTCTGGTGAGGAAGGAAGTGTTCTACCTTCCTTGCTGTTTATTTTATGTGGCTATTATCACTCACTGCGTAAGGACTATGGAGGAGATGACTCCTTTCTCATGTTTTAACCCCTGTGAAGTTCTAAAGATCGTCTTATATCATGATTAGAGACTGTAGGACTAGAGGAAAAACAGTCAACTGTTTTTGCCTGCATGAACAGGAAGAGGGTAAGGGGGAAAATGTGCACATTACCATGACAGCCTCCGTGCCTCTCTTCCATATCAATCCACTTGACAGCTTTCAGGTCCCCTTCCCACATTGCGTCGGGCATGGAGCCAGGGACACCTGCAACCGGGAAGCAGAACATAAAATTGTGAATCCTTTTAAGTTACGTGTTCAGTTTTACGTCTGCTCTCTTACTACCTTTCTCTACAGAACTGGGATGAGATATTGAGTTACAAGCAAATCAGAAGATGCCGAGCATGTTTCTGGATGCCAACATGTAAAATTTCCTAACTGACAGCAACTTTCATGGTATAAACAAGATGACGCTCTGAGAGACCTAAATAATCTCCCATCTGAAATCAGCCCCTTCCTTTACAACAGCCTCAGTATGCAATGCATAGAGGATCATGCATGCTGCCCTCCAAGTGCTCTTTGTGCACCACGCCACTGACACGGAAACCTTCACATGAGGTAACAGTAAATACTTTATTAAAAAAACTGAAAAAGAGATCAGCAGAACAAATTCAAGCATGACATAGCTAGATAGATCTGCTGCAAGTGAATTACAGCCTAGAGTGTGATATGATAACAGAGGTAAGTCCAGACAGATCACAAGACTTGTGCAGATCACAAGCCGACAGGAGGGCCTCTCCCCATCCCAAACAATGAATCCTGCTCTAACCAGGAGAGCAACTTTCTCGAGTCCTAAAAGTGCAAGGGGAAATGCTCAACATTCAGCGTCTGGCATTTGCTGACAAGTGAACAGGTGGTGCTTGTGCAATCCTGACTCTTGTGACTAAAGGGAATTTCAGTGTCTTCAAACAAAGGCAAGTTGTTTGCCTTTGCCTGGAACAAACTATTGCCATGTCACTAAGTCTTTGCAGTTTAAAAACAAGAGGCCGATCGTGTGGCCGTAACCAGGAAAATCCCCGCAGCTGATCTGTACGGCAATGCTGCATTCAATTCAGTGAAAGAACTTTACTGAAGTACTTCTTAAAACTGCCTTCAGAATGTGGCAAAGAACGAGGCAAGTTGCATAAAATAATAAAGGCTTTCTGTAAATATACTGCTTTCAGCAGACTGCATCTTCCTTATTGCCTCAGGTACTCGAGRACAAAATAGTGATACAGACTTTGTAACCGCCACCTGATGTACAAACCACTCTGCTGAGAAAAGCTGAAAGGCACCAACCTCTCACTCAAGCACAAACATTTCTATGTTTTTTATTTCCATGTTTGAAAAGACTTAAGTGTGTTTTGTTCTTCCTGGGCTAGTAAACGATGACTGTGCTGTCACAGAACAGGCAGCATTTGGGGAGCTCATGTGCATGGCGGCAGGCACAAAATGCAGAAGTTTTTCCTCCTTTCTCCCAGGGAAGCTGAAAACAAAGGGGAAAGAGAGACCAAGTTGCTCAAATGCACCGAGCCCGCCTGGCRTTATTGCTGTGAGTCTTGTCCATCTCTACCAGATACACGGGAAGACAGAGGGGACAGTCCTGCTGAAATAAATGGTGTCACCATCCTAAGTTTGGTGTTTTCACCAAGTTAAAGGTGAAAGCGGAGGAAGATTTTGTTACTACTTTTTTTTCTGTCCCTTTTTAGATGGTAACAAACACAGTTTCTCTATAGTTACTGTTACCTAACGACTACTTTGCTCCCGAGCTGGGAAGCGCATAGCGGGGAAGAAAACAGAATCATTAAGACACTAAATAATAACAAGGGTTTGGGTTTTGTTCTTCTTTGTTTTCTCAGAAATTTTATATAAGAAGAATTAACTAACAGACTTCTTCTATGTGCTTGTTTTTTTTCTGCTGTTGTTCTTAAGCAGAGCATCTCCCTGATATGCAACAAGGGCTGCTGACAAATACTCAGTCATGACTCTTCTATCAGAAGCCTTTAACATTCAACAGCAGAACCTCCATAAACACAAATATGCTGCAGCAATAATGAGAGCTCCACCATCTTCTTATTTTTTCCCCTTTCTGAAATGAGTTATTATTAAGTTAAAATAATGGTTCAAAAAGACTGATTTCATCTTAGAGGAGAATCAAAAAAGGTAACTCAGGAAAAAAAAAATTATATAATTTTATAATAGACAAAAAGAGAGGGTGATGGCAGGAAATAAACCATTTAAATGGTCTGGGACCTGCATTGTAATTTCAAACTAAAAACCTGTTCACAAAACATGGCAGTGAAGTTGGTGTGAGGACAAACTGCTGACACAGCGGAAGCAGAAAAATGCCTCACAGAACAGGAATGACCTCAGGATTTCCACTCAAACAATGGAAGGTGCTGCCTTACAGGAATGCAAAACTACTGACTTCACATTATTCACCATCCTCAAATTAAGTAAACCTGGCAATTTTCTAAGTTCATCAAAGAGCAGGGAAAAACACAGCTCAGCACCAAAAAAGAAAAAAAAAATGGATTCACCACTTTTCTTTAAGGATTTGGTTATTCTATGAGAACTTTATTGATCAGTTGCTGATTTGGAACYTGTTCTTGAGACCAGTTTTCATACATATGGCTGGTCTGCAATGTTATGTTGACAGTGCAGATCTAAATTAATTGCTCAACTTTCGTTAGGCTCCCACGTAACCCTCCGTTGAGATGAGACAGTTTCGTCACTGAAAACGAGAGGGGCCTCACAGGCAGCAGCACCAGGACACAGCAGGGATGGGGGCAGCCCTGCCAGATCCTTCCTCGGATCCTCCTCCTGGGCACGGGTAGGGACACGGGCAGCACTTCCCGTTTTAACTGCTGGTTGCAGGAGCTTCCAAAGGGAAGGCAGAGAGCGGGAGTGAAATCCTTCAGACTGCGGGTAGTTACAAAACAAAGTCACACAACTGGGATCAGCCTTATTTGTGAGCATTTATTTTTCCGTCTCTCAAAGTGCCCACAGAAAGGGAAGGGAATTTYGGGCACACATCAGGAGAAGAAATGAAATTAGAGGCACTGCGGTGGCCAGCCCACCTTCCCAGTCGCTCGTGGCTCTCTTCCTATCAGATGGTTCCAGTGCTGGTGGCTGCAAACCCAGAAAACAGGACCCCCGTCTCCCCTGGGGTACAGGTCCAGCCCCTRTGCACCCCTCATCCAGAAAACAGGTTTGGGGGCAGGTGCAATGCAGGCAATCCAGCACCTCACCTGCAGGACAGGGCCAACACCATGTCCTGCTCGGCACTTTCTACGCTCTCCCTTATTTTGTTTTCCCTGGCAGTTCCCATGACGGTGGATTTGCCTCTGCCGGGCGAGCCTGTCCCCCTGCCTTCCTGCGCTGCTACCAAGCGTCACGGAGACGCGCACAGCTCACGTGAAATGAGACACGGTGTTTGCCCTTCGGCAACATTCCCATGATCCGCAGTCCCACAGAAAGGCTGGACTTTCCCACAGAAAGCCGCACAGAAGGTTGGCTGTTCAAGTCCTGCACCTGTAACTCCAGGATCGAGCCAATGCACCGGTCCAAGGCAAACGCACACGGGACGGTCTTTGCTGGTCTGCTCAGCAGTCTGCACTGTCTCATTTGCACCTCTGTTTCAATTCCTTTACGTTTCTATGCCACTGAGCTGACCTACACCTTCCTCCCATACCTCATAAGCTGGTGCACAGGAAACTGTATTTCCTAAACGTGCCCTCGGTAGTGAACAAGTCACGTTTGGGGTGGACCAGGATTATTATCACAGATTCATAGAATGGTTGAGGTTGGAAGGGACCTCTAGAGATCACCTAGTCCAAACCCCTTGCTCCAGCAGGGACACCCAGAGCACGGGGCACAGGGCRGCATCCAGGTGGATTTGGAAGATCTCCAGAGAAGGAGACTCCACAACCTCCCTGGGCAGCCTGTGCCAGGGCTCTGTCACCCGCACAGTGAAGAAGTTCCTCCTCACACGGATGGAACTGCCTGGGTTTCAGCTTATATGCACTACCCCCTGCCCTATCACTGGCCACCACTGAGAACAGCTTGGCCTCTTCCTGCCCACATTCTCCCCTCAGCTCTCTGTACATGTGGATCCCCTCTCAACCTTCTCCAGGGAAAACACCCAACTCACTCAGTCCTTCCTTGTACAATAGATTATTCTGTAAAACCTGTTCCTATCAGCGAACGTGGACTTTTGCTGAGCTTACAGACCAGGTGTTTATGGTTGGGAAATGTGCCGGGCTGGGCAAATGCACGGCCTGCTCCCTACAAGCGAAGGAAGGGAGGCAGCCCAGCATCACCATGTGGGGCAAGACAGGTTTGGAAAGGCTTGGATGTGTGTGTAAAACCCCACAAGGGCTGACGACCCCCTGATGAGACACCAAGAGCCCCAGGTGGAAACACCTCCGAGAGGAGGTGACCTGGCGCAACCACGACCATCTGCCCAACCGTATCATGGCCAACTGATGTCACCCAACGAGCCCTCTCCCTTGCCGTCCCCGGGGTGACGGATACATGGGACGAGGACACCAAGCTCCCCAAGGCCCCTGCAGCCTACCCGGGATCCGGTTGAGCGTCACCCAGAAGTGCTCGTCGGGGCTGTAGGTGTCCTCGGACCAGGCCAGCAGGTCGCGGGCGCGCCGGTCCCGCAGCACGAACTCCGCGAAGGGCCGCGTGACRGCCACGTACGCGGAGCCGAAGTAGATGGTGATGTTGTGCGGCGGGGGCGCCTTGCGCACGGGCGGCGTGACCATGCACGAGGCGTTGTGCCGGGCCCACTCGCGGTGCACGTAGCGGGTGCGCGCGGCGACGTGTGCCGGCGGCAGCACCCCCGGCGTGATGTTCCGCCCTCGGAAGCCCTTGAGCAGCCGCACCATCTCCCGGTTGGTCTTCAGCGGGAAGTCCTGCCCGCAGGTGTTGAGCAGGTAGCGCCAGGGCACGGCCGAGGCCAGCAGGTCCCGCACGCAGTGGAGGTCGGCGCGCAGGCGCGAGATGCCGCCGTAGACCACGCGYTCCGTCCTGGAGGCCAGGAAGGCGTTGGGGAAGCAGCGCAGCAGGCGCCGCACGGCCCGCTGGAAGGCGKCCGGCGCCTTCTGGTCCACGTGCACGCAGTAGACGTTCTGGGGCATGTAGACGGCGCGGAAGAGCCGCTCGAAGGTCTCGAACTCCTTGTGCAGCGTCATGATGTAGGCGAGGGGGAAGGCGGCCTCCTCCGCCGACAGCGCGCGCGTGATGTAGCCGCTGCGGGCCACGTACTCGCTGCACGAGGGCGCCGCGGCCGCCGGCGCGAGCCCGGGGCCCGAGGCGAGGGCCGCCCGCCGGGAGTTGTAGTGCGCGGCGAGGCGGCGCGGGCGGCGGCGCGCGGCGGGCGGACTACGCTTCCCGGCAGCCCCCGCGGCAGCGGCTCGCTCTCGCCCTCACACTCCGGCTGCCGCTGCCAGTGTCTCCGCCGCCGCCGCCGCCGAACCGCCGCTCGCAGCGCCCACGGTCCGACCCGCTGCCTCGGCAGGGGCCGCCCCGGCCCGCCGCCCGCCGCCGCCCGCCCGGC